AAAAAAAAAAAAAAATCAAAAATACAGTGCCTTAAAGAGCAGATCCATTTGGAGACACAGCAATTAACAAATTAATTTAAGTTTTGCGGTTCTTTCTATACTTTTCTTACTTTGCTTTGAATTCTCCGAAGACCTTCAAGAAACGTCTGAAATGCTTTAGTTGTCTTCAATCGTGGCGTATTTAAAAATTTTTCGTCTTCCCAGGGTACGTCACAAGCACAGAATACGTTGTTGAAAATGCAGCAACACCCATTACTTCAAGTTGCCTGGGTGAGAAGTTTTTTAATATGAATAACAACTTTTCAAAAAAAAATTTTTTTTTTACTTTTTTGGCCTTATCTGTATGTTTCTTCGTTTCTTTTATCTCCTCTCCTTTCTTTTTTTGCTTTTAACGGAGTAGAACAATGCCATGTTCACAATTTTGTATGATGTTAATAAATTATACAAAAATTTCTCTCCATTTATTTCCGAATTTTTTCATCACATTCTTTTTTTTTATTCTAAATTAGTTTGGTTCATTTTTTTATTTGCTAATTACCACGTCCAAAAAGAAAAACGACTATACGGTTGATAAACTACACCAAAACAGAAAATGAAAACAGTGGAGTAAACGATTTGTCGGATACATAGTTACAGGAAGAATTACTACATATCCAAAGCTGAACTATAAAAATCAGGCACAAGTTAAGCCACAACTGTACAAATTACCATGTTAATCAATTGGGTTTCATTAACCTTTTGAATCTTTTCGATTTTATATTATGCTTTACATGTTATGCTCAACTTTTAAAAAATTAATTTAATTGATGCCTGGCCTTCAATTGCTTTATGTTTATTGTTTTAACAAATTAATAGTCAGCAATTTTCAAAATTAAGCTCAGAAGTAGCTGTGTTGTTTGTGAATGAAACTGTGTTAAATGAGAAAAATCTAACGTGAAGCTTACGTGATCACTAGTATCTGCAGTTTGATGGCACCGTATAGGCCTTCTAACCTTTTTGTAACTTTTTTTTTTATACAACAGTTTCGAATCTGCCAAGCTTCCTGGAGAGTGATGGCGAGTAAATGTTTGTAGGTTGCTGCAGATTTATCTTGATAAAAGCTTGCTCAGAAAGCTGATTTAATACTTTTAAAAAAAATATTTACCCACTTGTAACGATATATAACTGTTTTTTACTGTTACAGATGAGGATTGATTACTTTATGGCTTTCCTCTCGTAAATACTTCTGCATTATGTCTTCGTAGTGGGTGAAGTATAAAAATTGGTCAGTTGCCGTACTTAAACTGTTTGTTTTTCCTTTTTAGTTTGCATTTTAACATAGTTGAATGTCTTTTACTGTGTGATAATAGTTTGTCGTTAACGTTGTTGTTATTATTGTTATTGTTGCTGCTGAATAGGCGCGACTTTGAAATGTTGTACGAAACATTTCGATTTTGGCAAGTATTTGTACACACTGCGAAAAGAAGTTTTCTGACTGTGTTGCTTCTGATTTTTATTCTTCTGTCATTCAAAGCATCAACAAAATAAAATAGTTTATTGTAGCTTCCAGAAGCAAGATTTCAGCGCGTTGAAGGACGCAACAATTAGTTACAAGATTTGTTTTGCAGCTTTAACAACAGCAGCAAAGATTTTGCAAAATTTCTTCGACAAATAGTATAGGTTAAATCCAGTAACAGATGGTGCTGTTTTCAAGATTCTTTCGTCATAATTCCCTAAAATGATTTCTATTGAGTAAAGGTAACAACACTAAGTTTCTGTGTTTCCAGGTCCAAGTCAGCAATTTGAGGCTTGAAAACGAAAGGATATATGTTTGTTAGCTAATACCAATTTTAAATTATCTGTGGTGATCAGACTGAGTACTTCTTAAAAACCTTAAATTTTAGACTCAATGTTCCTGTAAAGAAAAACCAAATGTCACTGGAACTAAGAAATTTAGACTTCTGACTTCAGTCCAGTATAACAGTGCAACCAATTTTTCCTCATTTTTACCTGTATTTTTTTTTTCAGCAAAGTTTTTTCCATTTATTGGGAACGAGTAATCGAGCCATCAACCACATCTGACACTGTGACTCTTTCGCTGTCGTCAGCCACTGAAATGTTCAATGTAAAATAATCTTTGAAAATTTTGTTTTTGAAGTTAAGAAATGTAAATTTCTTTTAGACTGCTGGCTTTTTAAATAGCGGATTATTTTCTTAAAATAGAATACCGTAGAGCATTTTACATATATAAAAAGTACAATCTCCATACCTGGTCGCTTTGGAGATTCTGTTTTTTCATCGTGGAATATTCCTGCTGGCTCCGGAACATCAAGCTCGATTTCCATCCCTGACGCGTCTTCCTGTAAGTCTGTGTACTGGACGGTTGCCTTTAAAAATACTTAAGCATATTTCTCAACTAAGTGGTTACGGTCTCAAAAGACAGTAGCTATTTAAGCCTTTAGATAGCAAAGTACCTTAATTTTGAAAATTTTGATGCAAAATTTATAAAATATGCTGCTCAGCTAAAAGACCTGATCGAATGGTTGCTCTGTAGTTTCCTTAATTTCATCACCGTAATCCTTGACCCCTTCTAGCTTCTCCCTTTCTAAAGCTTCTTCGAAAAACTGCTTGAATACACGGCCTCGTTCAATGTCGTCGCTGTCAACAATTTTATCACTGTTTTCATTCTGATTCTTTTTTGTTGCCTCTTGTTCAAAAAACCTGTAATTACAGTTATGAAAGATTGTCTTTAGAGATTGGGCTTCATCTTTTAAAAACCTCTCCGGTTACCTGAAGAACGAAGCAAGGGGATCGGAAGTATTCTGAGCCTCGCCAACCTGTGCTTTAACTTTTTCCGTCTCTTCTATGTCTTCTGGCGGTTTTCTTGAAAAAGTATCTGCTATCAATACTAAGGAAGTTTCATCTTCATCAGCTCTAGCGTCGATGGTATCAGGGTTATTCGATGTTTGATTTTGTGTTAGTACTGCATCTTCTCCAAATACAGCCTGCGCTGGTCTCATGGGAAACTTATCTTCTATCATGACCATTGCAGTTTGTTGTTCGTCTGCTTTTGCATCTACTGGCTCCTAAACTAGAAAAATTTCTCTTCAAAAAAAAGTCAAATTTCATTTAATTTTACTTCTGCCTAAATAAAAATTGCCATGTTTCATTATAAAATAGTGATTTGATGCTGCTAAAATTTATAAACTCTAAAATGCGCAAAGAATTATCGGCAACTGCTATAGTATGGGTAGTTATTACTACAAGGATTTGAATGAAATATTAAATAGTTAATTGAGGTTTATGCCTTAGACTTGAATTCATCATCAATTAGTTGGTCCTTGATCTTATCGTCATTTGTATCGACTCCAACATCACCATCATTTATTTCTCGTCGAGGTGTTACTGGAGTTTCTTGGTCAACAAGCATGCTCTCACCCTCTTCCTTTTCTTTGTTGTCTTTTGCTACTTCCTAAACAAACATTGCTAGGCTTATAAATTGTTCAAAATTAAGCTGTTTAAAAAAATCAAAGGCAGAAGGAGATAGTTGTTTATTTTTACAGCTTCAATTTGATGTAGGCGAAATTTGATCGAGAAAAACGTAGCAGCCATTATTTTATTGTGGCTTACCTGAGATTTTGCTTGAAGAAGCTTAAAAATCAGATCGCGGTCACTGGTTTTAACTGCTGAATCAAGAGGGGAGATTTTCAATATGTCTTGGTCTTGGGAGCCCTTAAAATAAATTTTTGAACTAATTTTCTTCATGTCTAAGAGTTTTCTGTGATCACGATAACCGCTTGTTTCTCATAGGACTAGCCGAATTTACAATTTTACCTTACCCGTTCAACTGGAAGGCTAGTATCGACAATCATGTCAATATTTTCTTGCTGGGGTATCAACGGCTGCCTAAAATATAATCTGTGAGCATTTTAGTGATTTACTTTCCAGCTTCCTTGCACTTTAAACAAGTCCTTTCTTTAGAATTAAGACGAAAGACCTCTTCACCAGAACCAATGAGTTGTTGGCTAAGCTAGAAAGAAGAACTTAAAGGATGCGACTGCATAAATAAACAAGATGAATGTCAGAAGTAGTAAGGGAAGGGAGGGTTGAAGAAGTAATCTGGTCGACACAAACGAAACAGAGAAAGAGCGTCAAGAAAAGGATTTGACAAGTTATTCTTACCTGTCAGTCTCAACTTGAAGAGGAAACTGATGTGGTGAATCAAGCTTTTTAGGGGTACTATTGGTCGCCTGCATGGGTTGTATTGCTTGTTGTTGCGAGTTTTGCGTGTAATTTGGTACGGGAGCCTGAAATGACGCTGCATGATAAGTAATGAAAAAATCTTTTAACGCTTGTTGAATAAACACTTTTTGGAAGGCATGATTTTACTCTAGTTTCTCAACTTCATCCATTAAGTTATCCGAGTGTTCCTAACATATGGATCAACAGCATTAAACAACGGAACACTGTAAAGCAAAGTTGTTCAATTAGAAAACCAACTGATGGATAGTGGTGGAAATACAGAAGAGGATAAGGAAGTTGTTGAACATTGTTGAACCAGTATGGTTGCATCAAATGATGGTACATTGAGAACTGAGGGACCGGACCGGGAGGTGGTGGCAGTGGGTGTGGAATCTGTGTTTGGTAGAACTGCGGAGGTTGTGGTGGTGGGTACTGAGGCTGCATCTCTAAAGAAGAACATAGAATACAAGATTAGTATTTGTTATAGTCTTTGCAGTTTAAAACATGGGACCGATTTTGGATGGGGAAAGCAGATGAATCACTATTAAAAAGTAAAATAGTTTTATGGACGAATCACGTAAAGCAGAATAAAAGGCTATTTTGGACTAGCTAGGATGTTGTTGACTTTTCGTTGCATAAAGCCAATTTTTTGCTCGAGCATGGGTTCAAAGAAAGGCAAAAAATAAAAATAAAGAACGGAAAACAGAATGAGAAATTTTTCTGCAAGTTCAGATTACTGAACTTTTTCCTCCATCTAGTTGAGTCCGTTAAATTTTTCATGAGCTGATAAAAATATACCTTGTGCATAGCGACTTTGTAGAGCGTGTCTCATAAACTGGGCGGCTTTCCACTGCATAATAGCTTGTCTCATGCTAAAGTTATAGGAGCTCAAAAAGAATACATTTATAACAATATTACTGTTGCTCTCTAATCATTAAAAAAAAATGTGGAAACAAACGGGTCTACTGGTGGTGACATATTCTGAACAGTTTGTGGCTGTGTTTGTAAAGGATTTCCGCCCTCCATTTCTGAAAAGTATATACTAAACGCTCCTCAACAGCTTACTGGCTTAACTTAACTGAAATCTCAACAATCCTTGAACACTTATTGGTGCAGTAAAATGTCAAAAAATTCCATTTTTGATAAGTGTTTGAGTTTGAGGTTTACCTTTAAGTAAGAAAGTTTGTTGTGTTGGATAGGGGTATCCTGGGTCAACTATTTTCACAGCTTCATTTCCTTTTTCATCTTCAGGCTCTTTATTTTCTTCCATTTGGTTTTCCAAGCCTTAAAATTTTGTTAATTCAATAGTGCTAGCAGCAACTATCCAAATAAATCTGTAGATAAACTGTAAATCAAACAGTGATTTATGCAGACCTAAACGATTAATTTAAAATTCTTTATTTTCGAAATTGAGTTACCATTGATTACTACCACTCCTTTGACTGTCTCTTCATCATCGACATCTTTTTTCCCAATTATAACTAAATGTTGGACATCTGGTCTTTTAAGTAATGTTTGAATCTGAAATTTATCTTGTGAACGATAGATAGGCAGAACTTTCACGATTTAGTTAATACATCTCCATAAGGTCTTCAAAACTGCTATTATTGCTACATTCCAGACGTACAGCTTCAGAAGCCTCTTCAGATTCCTTATTGACTCTTCCTTCACCGCTGACTATATGATTGTCGTAGTTTACACCTGCTTCTCCTTTGTATTCTCTAAATGGTGCCTCATTTTTGTCTGCAACAAGTTTTAAAGCAAGTATATCTTGAGAGAGCCTGAGGTCTGGTGTTGTTGGGTCAACCGAGTATTTTTCCAGTGAAAATCGGCTTGGTTGGTGTTCCTGAAATTTACTACCGTTACAATGGTTGATCTTTGTGACGACAAAACAGGCTCCCATTCGTCAATCAACATACAGATTATTCCGTATTTCCTTCATGAATTTTGAGGTGATTAAACTCTTTGCATACTTAGGAAGGTTATAAACGATAAGTTTTGTTTTTAATCCCTTATTCTTGGTGCCAGTGTCTAAAAGATTTTAGACTAACCGAGAAAGTATAGGTCCGGGAGCTTCTGTAGATACATTTGGGAGCAAAATGGAGGATAATAACAAGTATTGCTAAGAGCCAGAAAATAAAAATTAGTCCAATCAACCACGTCGTTCGTGTTTTTTTTCCCCGTCTCGCGGCTGAAAAACAGAAATCTTGTATTTATTGTTTGCTAAGGGTATTATGCCTTTCACTCTTCCTTTGGCTTTTGAAAAAAAAACTAATTTTTTGCCCTGTTTTAAGATTAAAATGACACACAGTTTAAAATGAAAATAATCTCGCAGTTATTAAAAAAATTTACAGGCAACCAAACCGGAAGCTTACAAATGCCTTATTTAAAAGTTGTTTTTCTATGTTACTGCTAGTTGCTTGATATTAACCAAAACTTATATCGATTTTACAGAATAAATCATGAGTTAGTGTCTAATATCTGTTCCTGAAGTTCAGTTTTCAGCATACCACCATTAAATATGACGTTAACTATTGAAGTCAATATAAGAAAAAGTCGATGCAGTTCTGTTTTGTTGTCAAGAAAAGAAAGAATAAAGTAAAAACAGTTCTAGAGAAAAAAGTGTATAGTTTTTAGCCTGTGTTAATTAATTAATTTGAAAGTTTTAAAAAAAAAACCAGTGAACTTGTTTGGTTGATCATAAGAAACAATTTTTGTAACTGATCTTTGGTTTCTAGATGCTATTTTGTAAAGTAAAACCGACATACTCCTCACAGAGAAGACACAGTAACTAACAACACTTTGTTTTGAGGTTTCAAACTGCAGACAGGTACTGTTTCAAAAGGTATTTTATTTTTCTTCTTTCAAAAAAATAAGTTTCTGCTCAGCTAACATAATCAATTATTTTTGATTGAATGACTAAAACTGGCATCAAGTGCAATATCAACATAAAATCTTTCATTAAATAAGTGGATTCTGTTGTAAAAATTAGTTTTTCATTTGATACTGCCAGCAGATGATCAACAAATTTTATGACTGCTATACTTCGTATCAACGTTAATCATCATCAAAAAAAAAAATTTTAATTATTTTAATTGGAAATAATAAAAAACAAAAAATTGTTCTTTACAAAAAAATAATATTTTTATAATAACAATTATTTCAATCTCAGACCTCAAAACATCAGACAGAACTTATACAATCCAATAAACTACACTCAAATAGAATAAACAAAGCAAACAGCCTTTAAGATGTTGAAAAAAAAATTTTTTTTTTTTGAACTTCTATTTGTCTCTGACACTCAGAATTTCAATAAAAAAGTACAGCGTCCTGGAACAACTTTTTTTTTCTACTTCTAATAAACAAATTTTGACGTTATTTGGTGAAAAAAAAAAAAAACTATCTCTCATACACGAATTTTTAAGAGTACTCTTCTCTACTGTACACAGTTTTAACAGAAAAAATGACACTTTTTCAAAAAATAAAAAATTGTAAGTGTCGTAACGTCTATAAAAGAAGAAATCTGTTAACGCTTTACCGCAGATGTAATGAAAGGTCAATTTATCTATAAGATACAACATTCTAAAATGCGAAAATTTTTAATCCTTAAATCTTTTTATATTTTCAACAACAAGAATTCTAACACACTATTTTCAGTACTGATTTAGATCCGGGAATTTGTTACACTTTTCAATTTTCAGTACTGGTTTAGATCCAGAAATTTGTTACACTTTTCGCCCCTCAAACTGGGGACTGACAACACAAAAAGCCGTCTATAGCTCAAGCTTTAGCGAGCAATACATAGAAGGTGTCTTAGAGTAAATTTAGAAAAGCATTTTGTTACATTTCGATAACTGTATTTAGTTTTGACCTCAAAAAAAGAAACTTGAACTATAAAGTATTGTAACCTAAAAGAATTTTCAAGTTTAGTAAGGCATGAGGAACAGTTGAATAAAGAGCAAGATAGCTAGAAAAAACAAGAAAACATTGAAAGAGGATTCTTCGCTAGTTTCTAATTATCGCTTTCTCAACGTTTTAATAACAATCAGTTTAGAGTCAGTGTTTAATAAAGACCAAAAGTTAGTTAAAAAGCAGAACTTGGTAAACTAATTTGAGCATATTGTTCAGGTATGTTATTGACAAAACTACGTAACCTACGTGTAAGATTCAATTTTGCATCCCCTTCAAAGAGGCTGATTGACATATGAACCAAAATTCTCCAGTTCGTACCTAGTGTTTTGCCATCTTCCTGTTTCGCAAAACTGTTGCTTAAACTGGTCCTAAGTCTATCACAGAATGCCTGACGAAAATGCAAAACACAATACATACGTGTATAGTCTGTTAAGTTGCATGAAAAATTATCACATCTCAGAAGAAGACGGTATTTCAAATGTAAAACCTTTCCATTTTGAAGTTGGTCTGACCGGAACAACTGATACGTAGTAAATGTTCTTTGGGTTTCTCACTAAACTTATAAAAATATACATTTTTTCTTCCATGAATTAATGATTTTAAACAGCTGGCCTTCTAACTGCAACCGCTTATTACAGTTCAAAAGTATTTCGACAACTTTTAAAGTGGTTTTTAGATTTTAGAAAAATGAACAGAACTATATTTAGAAAATAGAACGAAACGGAAGTGGTATTAAAATTTTCTGTTTGAACTCCTCTAAAACAAGAAAACTTCAAAAGCAAAAAAAAGAACCAGCTTTGGACCCGTTGAAAGATACAAAGTTTTTAACGACTTAGTGTAAAAATTGCACATACAGAATTTTTATATCTCACTAAGCGCCACATTTAGAAACCAAAAAGCTGCAGATTAAATCTAAATGACACGACAACTAACATTGACATTTGCCGTCAGTGTTTAAAGTTTACAGAATTGTCACCGTTTCACACACAATAAAAGAAGTTGTTCTAAAATTGCTTTACAGTCACTTAAAATCATAACACTCATATTTACGCCTACCATCCTTCAATAATCCGCTTTCTTTTTAGCTATTCTTCTGTTCAAGCAAATATAAAGAAAAGTAAAAAAAAAAAACAAATTAACAAATCTCTAAAATCACACATACGCAGAAAAAAATTCCAAAAAAAAATCCTTCAAATTCAATTTCTCCTTTTTGATTGTATAAATTTAGATTTTTGTTCTTAAAACAAATTGTCACTGTGCATCAAATGAAAACACATAAAAGAAAAATAAATTTAAGACAGTCAGATCATAAAAATGAGTTCACTTCTAACTTTTCGCTCAAGTGTCGAATCTTAATATGGTTCACAATCAGCAAATAAAATGAATTATTGTGAAAACGATAAAAGACAAATAGTAGCGGTTATCAGTAAAGTGAAAAGTCAAAAACAAAAACTTTTCAACAAAAAATTACAGTCACTACGATCGACAATGCAGTAAATACAATTTGACTTGTCACAGGAAAGTAATAAATGATCATTTATTTTACTTAACAAATAAACTCTCACTAAGTCATCAAATTTGAAGATATCAAATAAAAAAAATAAAAAGACATGCTTTCAAAGAATCATCTTTTTTTTTTTTTAGATTAATCACCAAAATTCAAGGCTACTAAATTTAAATTTTGAGAAGGCGAAAATATTGTGTCAAAAAATGAGTTATCAGATAAACAGTCCATTTGAACTTCAAGTTACGCAACAAAAAAAGAAAAATACTTTCAAATCATTACCAGACAAATCTGATGGTTCTACAATCTGTAAATCTGGCTTCTGGAGCACAGTAAAAATTTCGTTCCCAACTTTTGGTGTGCTGGTCTCATCTTTCTTTGCAGTGTCTGTCGGAAGGGGTTGTGTTAAAAACAGTCTGGTCATCGTATAAAATAAATAATAACAATAAGCCTGAAATATCAAAATAAATCATTTATCTGTCCTATCACTACAGCGTACAGTTCCTAACAGCTATTAACATCAGAGTACCAAACGTAAACTACAGATACAGATAATAGGAAATTAAGCAGGCTCAGAAGTACTCTAAACGACAATTCTTCAGAAAACTGGTTAAAGAACCTGCAGGTAAACGTTGGAAATCTCAAACTGCTAGACTTATTGATAGATGACTGAATGAAAAAAAAACATTTTTTTTTCTTGATTTCTTTTATAGATACTTGTATAATTAGAAAAGCAAAAAAAAAAGATTATACAGTTATTTTGGAATATCAAATCGTTCATTTTACCACTCTATCATTCAATTTTTCACTTCATACTTCACTTCAGTTATCATTACTTTAGCGTCTTTTAAAATGAGCAAAAAATTATGACTTCCCATTTGCAAAATTACAAACTGCTCAAAAACAAGTTTTCCAAACAAACAAGCCAAGTAGATTCCAAAACACTTAAATTTTAAATAACTCGAAAGTTAAACAACAAATAAACGAAAAAGTAAATTGGTTGATTTTTTTTTCCAGAAACAAAGCAGATGTAATAAAAAAAACAACAAAGAAAAGGAACTACTTCATTTTTTTTTTCTTTTGCTATCACTTTTTATTTTCAGAGTCGAAAATAGCAGAATAAATATACTCAGATATCTATAAAGATACGAGAAACCGTATTGGTTACCACACAGTCACCTTGACTGGTTTTTCGGTTCTACGACGTCACCCAACCGCTTCCCCTAAACCCAAGCCCTTCCCCTTCCTCTTTTATTACAGGTAAAGTTAATTTCATGTCAAGACCGTTGGTTACAGTATCGAAAAACAACCAAAATACACTGTTGTCAACAAGTCAAGAAATCAACAATTAACAGAACAACGTCAACAAAATTTCCAACAGCATCCCTTCACATGAAACTTTGTGAAGTTTGTCTTCACAACCCCTGCAATTACCGATCATTTCAGCCAAGTGAAATGAATACGTCGAAAACGGAGTTGACAAAAAC